GTATAAGGAGTTTGAAATGGCCTAACCTCTGTTCTGCCGTTCCCAATTCATTCAGGGCTGACAGTTTTCTCTTTTCTCTGCATACATGCTCTTGTCATTAGCATGCCTCTGAACTTTGCCTCGCAATGTCTCTCCTGAACAGTTCAGATGAATTATTTCATCCTGTACAGGGCTGACTGCGGGGCATACACATGTGGGTGCTTCCTCTGGCCTGGGTAGAGTCTTTTCATACTGATACAGGACAAACACCTGTTCCCCTGCCCCTCCAAACATGACCTCGGAGTGTGCTGCTGACATTAAACTGTGCATGTAAGAATGCACTCATTTGGAGGCCTGCAGGGACATGGTGAGGCTGATATCTGTGTTTCTTTCTTTTCTTTGGATTCACAGAACATTCTCCACTAAACATTATTGTATGAAGTCATCTAACACTGCTCTAACACAGTCTAAACATGGTTGCTACTGCACTTTAAAACCACACCTTTAACAATTGCAATGATAGTTGATATAAAGGAAATACAATCTTTCAAATCTTTCAAAGATAAAAGAAAATAGATCAGGACCATTGAATTAATAATTTAAAACCTGCATTTTAATCATAAAATGTCTTTTCTATCTATAAATGATGGTGTTAGGTGCTTGTGAGAGATGAACATACAGTTTGCAAGTGACAAAACTGATATTAAAAGCTACTATTTAAGGCTGATTGTAAAATTATGTTATTTGGTTTATACACGATGACATCAGTAAATCCGCACATCATGTACCAACATTTTCTCAGACTTTCCGAGTTGATCGTCCGTCTTGAGTCAGCGTTCATGTCAATTTTTCCAGTTGAAAACTAATTTGTCTGATTATTTCAACACCACATGAATGAACAATGTGATCTTCCTCTTTCAGTCACTTTCCAGAGATCAACCAGTTGAGGGTTGGAAGAAAAATGAACTTAACCTCAAGGATTTGTTTAGAAGCTCAATGTTGAACAAGATACAACTTGATGGAATACTTTATTTCTTTGGGTATCAACTTTTATGAACCAAAGAGGGGAAGCAAGTTTTCAGTTCAGTCTATAGTCCATTGCTCCAATCTTTTTACGCTACAGATCCTGAAATTTTGCTGCAACTGACCAAAACAATCAACATCACCAGCAAAAGAAACAAAAATATAGTCTGAAGATCACCAAACTGGAGACTGTCCATTCTCAGCTCACTCTGGCCAAGAAAATCTCACAAACACAGAGCTGGGGACAAGGTGTCATCATTCCTGAAAATGCTCATTTGTTTTGATAATATGCTGATTCCATGACTTGGAGCAGCCCAGCTTCTACAACCTGCTTTGCAAAAGGCAGAAAACGAACGTACCACGGTTTTACCTGAGTGGCTCAGTCAAATAAATCAAAGGGGCATCTTGAGTGATTACCGGTTACAGAGAAGAGCGCTGTGCACATAACATGATTGACAAGCAGGGAGAAACACCTCCTCCACAAACAAAGCTGTGCTAATTGGATGGTAGGACTCAGAATAATGATTTTTCAGTGAGATTTCCTTATGCTATTATTCCTCATTTTACCAAAATGCTGGTTGAAGCCCGAGGTTTAGATCTCCACATAAATTTTTCTTAATCCAACTTTGACCTTGTTTTTTTTTTTACTTGAGTATAAACAGGTGATCAACCTCTTTATACTAAAATTAGAGGGTAAAAGCAGGATTTTTAAACATGGGTTAGTCAGCTAATAAAAGGCCTATCTGGGGGATTTCCCCGGTGCTTTTCTTCACAAATGCACCGAAAACTGAGGCATTCTCTCACTGCGCTGTCTTGCCAAATAAGCACGTTCGACCCACGCGTCATGTTTCCATCAGTGCTGATTGAACCCGGAGCCAATAGAAACCCATGTCAACTGCTGAGTCACTTAGTTAATGCCGATGTATCCATTCCCATTGCAGGCAAAAGCCTGATGTTAGTGAGTTTTCTCACTGGTGGAAAAGGGGTTAGCCAGTGAGTTGTGGATGCTGTAGTTCTTCTGTTGTTACTTTCACTCACTTGTTTTGAGGTTACAAGGTAGAAATCCCCGCCTTTAGGGAGTCACCGGCCTGACATGTTGCCCCAGCTTAGCAGCCCCTTTTAGCTGCGCTCGTCACGCTGCAGTCGCACATCTGCAACTATATATCAAAGCCGTGCACGAAAACATTCCTGAGAGCAAAGCAGTGGTGATTTGTGTGCCTTTCTCCATCTTTTTTTATTAAAATTCATCTGTGATCTAACTGTTCGCTCGGCTTAAAGCTATACCTTTTAAATAAGTCATCCGTCCTGAAGTTCGACCTGCACCACATTAAGAGCAGCACTGACATCACAATGGTTTCCCCCTCTCCCCGCCGAGCCACATGCCTCTTTCATATATTTTCTCTTGTCCCCAACAGATGGACATTCTTGCAGCCAGATATTTTTTAAAGTGTTTAATAAATGTAATACAACCTTTATAGTGTTGAAGAAAGGGGACTAAACCAGAACCATGTGCATGGAGTGAATAGCGGCCGTTAGGGGCCACAACTAATATGGTCCAACATGTGGACCAGGGCCATGCAGGCCGGTTCACTTAAATGTTGGACAGTTTATGACCTTCAGCATGGTTCCCTCAGAAAGCAGAGCGGGTGCTTACATTACTACTACTCTAATTTATAATGTGATGCTATGTTTTTAAATCCATCTAAGTAATAAAAGGATACAGCTGATATTGGAATGCGGCGTCTTTCATGTTTTATCTCACAAAGGAGTAGTTCAGTGGTATTATGTTCCGAGAGGGGCAAATTATGAACGTGTTTGACTTATTGTCAAATTAAGGAAGAGTGTCTTGACCCTGGCGGAGAATATGCATGCCTCTGGTCATTATTTCATTCAGCTCAACCTGCCACTGCTAAGCATAACAGATAATAAAATACTACTGAGAAGGAATGCGAGCGGTGATGGGACCGGATAAATCACATAAAACACTTTAAAGTCAAGCAGGAGCTGTGTAGTGTGAATGCTTGGATGCAGTTTGGGTATATTCCATTGTTGAGAAACCTTATCACATCTTGTCAGCTGGAATCAAAACTCACTGAACTTATTACAGTGTTTGCTTATCTTCAAACTTTGTCCCTGCTGGTTACCGTACACTCAAGAGCATGAGATAATCAAATCATCAAGTTGCCTGCTTGTAACTGTATTTTGACACTTTAGTGGGTCAGTCGTAGGGCTGGGCAATAATATAATATAAATAATGATCACAATATAATTTTCATCAATAACATTTACCTCGAATCGGTAAAATGCTGTTTGTGATTCTCTGCTCATAAAGACATTTAAAACCACAACATTCACTCAGCATTTGTATCTTTTATCTTTGGCCATATCATCCAGCCCTAGTCAATCATCACAAACTAATTCTCACCAAACATAACTTTAGATTCCAGTTTAATTTTATTTTCCTTGATTATTTACTGAATAAATAAAGGTGAGAAACTGTTTACAGATATAATTATGTCTTTTTTTGTTGAACCAGGTAAATTCAATATTTTTTTTAATCCTGTTGAATTGCTTGATCACATTGAAGTCCTGCTCACTTATTCATGAAACTGCACACAGTGGATTTATGGCCTATACATAGATAGAAAGGGAAAGCTTACATTGTCTTTATGTTATTAATTGTATGGTTGACAAATCTGTATCACATAAACATATATGCCCATGTTGCACAACTTTTATTTCTACTGAAGAGCCCAACATTTCAAGGAAATATACAATATATTGGGCTAAAATTGAGGTAAATGTGTGTAAAATGAGGCAGAAGTGATAAAGAATATTTTCAGTTAGTAATATGGATCTGCTTTAAAAACATATGTCAGATCTGCAATAATGCAAAACATCATACAGCTTAAATGATGGATTTTATATAGTATCCGAAATATGTATTAATGCATGTTGATACATGAGCATCAAAGCCATTTTCAAACCCCAATTGCGAAGTAAATAACCCACATATTTTCACATCTCTACATCCTTTTTACAGTTTTATGTGACATTGCACCGTAATATTTGCCTTGTGTTTACACTCAACTGTAAATACAAAACATGAGTGCAAGATCCACAAATGCATTAAATGCTATCTGACTCGCATTTTTGTACAGCCTAATATTTCACTAAGCCTTAGCATTTCATTCAGAGATGTGTTCTAGATAAGTGCAATAATCTCAGTTTGATGGATGGCCCAGCCGGAGCCTCGGGCCACTGGTGTGTACATACTGCAATGGTTGCTGCAGAACGATAAAAACCAGCATGGGCAGGTGTGTTTGGTTAAGATGCACTTGTCAAGTGGGGTGACAAGCATGTCTGTGTTCATTCAAGTGAACCCCTTATCTGCACCTCCATGTCCCACTCATGAGACAAAAGCACTTCCCATGTTTGTATGATTTACCTCTCAAGTAAAGTGCACCCCCGAGCACACAAGCGCGCGCACACACACACACACAGTCACACACACACACATACATACATGACTGTCTCTTTCAGAGGAGAATGTGTTGGATAAAATCATTTACATCTTCTCTCATTACTGCACAACTAAAAAACCTTTCTTTATATATCGTTCTAAACCAACAGCTACATTTCTGTTCTTTCTGATGTTACTTCTTTTCTTTTAAACTTGACATTGTCATTTTGTGTATTCAAGGTTTTTGTAGTTGAGTCCTGCCTTCTCAGGACGTGGGGTTTGAATGCACTTTTAGCTTTTTATTTTGACTGTGTATTTACTAATCTTGCAGACTCTTAATCATTTCATAAAGTTTTACTATGTTGTGCTCTCATCTTCATTGATTTTAATGGTTTCAATTGTTCATGTTTAACTTGTACAGCACCTTATAACTCTGTTTTGAAATGTATCATATTTATTATAATGACTTTATTCGTGTTATTGTTATTTCACATACCTTTGCAGCCACGCTTTCTATGGCGGCGCAGCTCTTCAGACCACCTTTACATTTTTTTTCGTTGACGCTTGAACTTTCACCTGCGTGCGGAGGAAGTGACGTCACACCAGGAAGTAATGCTCGCTGCTGGCCGACAGCAGTGAACACACAACAGCAGCAGCAGCATCCACATTAGCAGCAACACTGGCTGGAGTTTTGTGGTTAAGCCACCGCATGAACGTGTGAAGAGCTGAATGTCCTCCAGCCGCTGAACATGCCACCGAGGTGAGCAGCTGTGTGAGTGACAGAGAGATGCTGTGTTTGTGTGTTAGCTCAGCAGCTAGCCGCATAGGGCTAACGTCAACCTGCTGTGTGAGCTACTGTCAGCAGCGAAGCTTAATGTAAACCTCATGGATTTCAGTCGCTTTACAGAATAACAAGACCGTGGCAGCCAGCCGACGTGAAATAACACGTGGAAGGATGCACAGTTAGAGGGAAACCAAACCTTTGTGTTTGTCATGTAGCTGCATCAGTTGTTAATGTAGTTTTCTGTTATATTAGTGAATTGGATCCAGAGTTAGCTTCAAGTTGAAAAGCAGAGATGGACTGAAAACATGGGTCATTCAGAGATAAAACCTGGAGCAGTGAAAAGAGACACTGACAGCACTCATGATCATCTGAGTGCAATATCAGAATATAATCTTAATCTCAGTCATAATGATCAAAAGTGAGATCAGAAGTAGTTTGGTTTTAGTTAGAATATTTAGAATCTTAAACAATCATCAAATCACCCCACTGAGTCCGTCACTAATTCATTGGACCAACACCTACACTAAATGTGTCACTGGGAGAGATCCGCCCTCTCTGAGTTGCAAAGACCTTTGTATTGAAAGCGTCACATAGCAATATCTTTGTTTGTTTTTTAATGTTACAATATTTTCCGAGTTTACTTTTAATCCACAGGATTTCCTCAGGGTCTTAGAAAGTCAAACATTCAATATCAGAATTTTAGGCATTACAAAATCTAAAATATAGAGTCATCAAATTAAATACCTAGGTAGGTTGTAATTATGCCAATGTTCATTCTGCTTTAAATTAATTTAAATTCTTAAATGTATTGATGTATTTTTAATGTTTCTATGTGTTGTATTCCTTTTTAAACGATACAGATATTAGAACATAGTAATAGAAACTACACAGGCCAACGTGGAACTGATTACTAATACCTGACAAACACCCAGGTCAAGTGTAATAGCGGCGTGTTGAGGGTTTTTCCCTACGAGGCCACTTCACTTTATTAACAATTAAGGGGAAGTTTGAGTAACTCTGTGACTCAAATATAATTTTTTGTACCTGTTGACTTAAGTTTGATTCATTATGGTCTTAAAATGTCTTAAATCTAACCTGTTGAAACCTGCAGAAACCCTGTTCAAGTGACTGCCACCAATTGTCTGAGATCATAAGCTGAGTCATTAGCTGATTCCATGAGTCATGTTATGGTTCTGGGAAAGATTGTGATGTGTTTCTGTTTCTTTCTTCTTGTCTTTTTTAGATGACTCACCGGTGGCTTGGACATCTGTGAATCCTTAAAAGATGAGGCTTGCTTGTAATGATAGTTACTGTAGGAACAAACCACACTGACATGGACAACAAACTAAAGCCAATCATGACTTGCTTTTTTGCACATCACATTCACTAATTAATCAAACTGCATTCATCATTAGATAGTTTTGAATGGCTCTCAGTTAATAACCAGTGCTGACAATGTCACTGGGTGAGCAGTCTCAGAAGTGGTTTCCAACCCATGTCCAAGCCACAGTTCTTCAAGCAAGCGGTTTACAACCCAAGGGCAAAAATGGCACCAATGATGCCTACACTATCATTCAGCTGGGCAAGGAGAAGTACTCGACGTCAGTGGCAGAGAAGACACTCAGTCCAGTCTGGAGAGAAGAAGCCTCCTTTGAGTTACCTGGTCTGCTTATGGAGGGCAACCCTGAAGTGTACGAACTCTGCCTCATAGTGATGCATCGATCCCTGGTTGGGATGGACAAGTTTCTGGGTCAGAGGTCCATCAATCTCAATGAAATCTTTGATAACAAGGAGAGAAAGAAAACTGAGTAAGTAACATATACTGTAGCAGTTAAGTCCAAGATTTCATCTTAGCTGGCTCGGACATGAACTGTCACATATGAAGAACGCAGCAAGAGATTATTCGCGTCAGACGTGTTGCATTACATTACATTTCAATTAGCTGACACTTTTATCACAGGCGACTTACAGTAAGGTCACAACAACAGGAAAATGTCCAGAACATTCGGATGAGGAGTGGTGCCTGGGTAGAGCATTTAGGAGGCAGACTGTTACGTATAAAGCACATAGTATAAGCACAGTGTTTTGTTTTCTACACTGAAGTCTGCATTAATCATCAAAAACTCTCAAATATGATTATCTTCTACATGTATAGCTCCTCTTTTTCATCCTGTGATATTTGTGTTCTTCTAGTGGACATACTGGGACATTCTCCAGACATTATACCAAGGATGTGACAGGAATATATCTGGAGAATATCTGAAACAACTGACTGGAACATTTGCTCAGATACAGCTCCTCCATATAATTTCAGGAAATTGTCTGGAGTTCAGTGCCTGTGTGAACTCAGCATAAAAGGCACATAATTGCACAACAAACCGTACATCTCATTTAACTAAACTCAGCAAAAAGTGAACTACCATTAATCATATAATATCTGTACAGTCATTGCAATGCTATGATTCTTACTTCTTTACATCCACTGTCACTGATCTGAGTGGTGGTTGTTTTTATCTTGAATTTTGATTGAGCACATTTCATACTGGGCCGACAGTATTCGTTAAGTATTTTAGCTCTTTTCTATGTTAGACTTTTACAGCATACATGTGCAGTTCCAGCTCGTGCTTATGTTTCAGTGTACTGTTGTAAAAGGAACAGACTTTTCAGAGGAAGTGGAAAATATTTGCGGAACTATTCCAGTCATAAGTGGATTACAGCAGGGATATATATGTTGTTACACACTGTCACATTCCCATAGGTTGCATGTGTTATAATCTATATTAGGCTACATATGCCACTAATGACAGTGTGCTGAGCAGTGCGTGTTATATTCTGTACTCTTGTTGTCAATTAGGTGGATGACTTAACTTTTTTAACACTGCGTGGTTTAAATGCCATTGCATTGTCCTTTATTCTCTTTTTATAATTGTTTTAGAAATACATTTTATTGGAAGGATCTGGAAAGCCCAGTAGGTGAATTGGTCCAACAGAAACTCCAGATTTCTTTCTTCTCTAGCTTTAAACTGTTTAACACAAATGTCCCACACAATTCATACACATTTATTAACCAAACAATGGTCGAGCATTATTTTTCTTCTATTGTTGGAGGCTGTGTAATGCATTTCCCTGCATTGTTGGGAAGTTCTTTTTAGCTTAATCACCGACTTGGTGTCTAGCAGTTGGCCTAATTGAAACTAGTGGAGCTGGCTAAACATGTCTTGTCAGTCACTCCTGTGCATGCTGTTGTTTTTACATGTGCAATGGGAACATGGCCTTTCCTTCAGAGCCAAAGGGACCTGGGTTTGAATCTTATCCTGGCGTTTTCTGAGTACATTTGTTTTTGTCATGCTTTACTTTTGTCTGAATGCTTCAAGCTCCTCCCTTAGTCCATAAAGTACAGAAGTCAGGTGAAGTGGAAACACTTTATGTTTCCCATCGGAGTGATTTTGGTGGCAAGTGGTGGCTGTGATGGGCTTCATCCATACTATTACATATTTGCCTAAAAATGCATTCACTCAGCTACTGATACACTTTGTGTCCACACTACTACAGAGATTTAGAGCCACTTAAAAAACGCTGCTAGTGCTGGCCCTGTTTTAGTTTGAAAACTCCAGGGCTTCGTTTTAATCTCTTGAAGAGCAGAAACTGAGATTTTTGGAAACAATGACGTAAACACAACAGCCTGCCGATTGGGTCTTTTCGATCATGACAGAACCTTTGCTGATTCTTCAGGGTCCTATCATATGACTCCTTTCGGAAGAAAACAACCGGCATTAGCCTCGGCTACCAGTGTAGAAGCAACATGGATAATCAGTTACAAGTATAGCTGACCCTATTGTTTATATGCGTAGGATTATTTACAACTAACGCCCAAATGCTTCCTTTTGACACCTGCACACATGCCTTCCTGTTTGCATTAGAAAACACCATTTTCAAATGCAAACTAAGTAGTATAGATGTAGCCTGAATCAGACTTATCATAAACAGGTGACTTGTCTGTGCTGTCTACCTGCCTTATGTCCAGTGTTGTTGAAATAAGGGTTGTCCTCTTGTGAAATGACTGTGCTACTACAAATGAATAAAAGTAGAGTACATTAATACAACATACTGTACATACCATGACATCCTGATGAGGCAGTATTATACTTGGCCAAAGGTGAGAGTGTTGACCCTTACAAGTCCAGCACACACATGTTTCTTAACCCTACATTAAGCAAACAGGAACAGAATAACTAAACTGGATCTGGTGCTAATTAGGTCTCTGCAAATTTCAACATGGAAAGACGTTACCACACTTCCTCTCTGCCCATCAGGTGGGAGAATCACAATATTTTATAATCAGTGTGGATGGGTTTTATTTGTTTTAGGTGCCTGAGCCGATGCAGCTTGAGGCCGTGCACTTTTTCAGCAGAGGTTCTGTAATGGATACACTCGCATTGCTTGTTGGCCTAATCCCACATGCAGGCATACTTGACAATGATGCCGGGACCCTCGATACTATATCCACACTCCACTGTGGGTCTGTGTTCACCGTGGATCCGTCCGCAGTGTTTTTGAACTGACATATTGGGGAGGAAAGCCTGTCTTGATATCTGAGTAGGCAGCCCATAATTATCGCACACCTGTGTTTGTTGATTGTGAGGAGTTTCCCAGCGGTCCGGGGCCGAGTGGGAGGATTGTGGTTCCAAGCACACAGAGGTTTATCTTGGCCTTGAGACACACGTGAGGTGCAGCCCCGGCCCCACGGCAGCGGCATGCTGTGGCCGCTGATCATACTGAGCGTGGCGCGCAGCCTGGGAATTAGACCCAGCAAGGCCTTTCATGACTGGCCTCCTGCGCCACGAGACAGTTTAGAAAAGACCTCAACAGCTGCGGTTTTTAAAAAGCCAATACCAACACTTTTTTTGGATCATACAGATAACTGATATTTCATGCTGGAATTCAAGGAATACTGAAAGTAATATTAGCAGTGGTTTTAAAACAAATACAATTATGCAAATATGTTTCCAGATCAAGGGTTTTCTATTATATTGAACATTTAATTCTATTAATTAAACTGCACCATAATGGAGCCCACACACACACATTCTCAGATGTACATTGACTGGTTTCCTATAGGACATTGTCACAAACCCTAGAACATAGAGGCTGCATCTCATTAGCATGTGTGGGTCCTCGGTTGCCCTGCAACATGGCTTTGCAATATCCCAATTGCTTGTTGTTGCATTTCTGAACAAAGGCCAGATTTGTGCAAATGCCACTTCATTTTGCTCAGAGTGAAGGCATAAATCCCATTACTTCCAGTTGAAGAAGCAGAGAGGTTAAACAAATAGAAGCTTCGCAGCAGCCTGAATTGCTCTATATTATTCAGCAGCAGGCCGTCTCTTGCGTTCAGTTTTCAAAGAATAATGTTTATCCTCTGAATGATAAATTGCATTCTCACTTGTGTCAGGAAAAAGTTCAAATGATTTAAGCCCCTGCGTTTGTGTGTAGCCTTTGGATTAGTCTGCTCAAATTAGCCTTTTCACTGGTGTCCACAAAGAAGTAGGTAGAGCGCATTAGAGAGGATGTGGGCAATTTTTTTCCATTTGTCGTATTGTTTGATAGTGTAAGGACTTTTACTGCTTTCTGACTTTGTACACCCATCTGCCTGAATTATGTGTAATCAACTCACAATTTTTCACACTCTACTCTCACTACAGCTGGTATTCCCTGGAGTCCAAGCCGGGAAAGAAGAGGAAAGAACGAGGCCGCATCCAAGTCAGCATCCAGTTCATGAGGAACAACATGACGGCCAGCATGTTTGACCTCTCCATAAAGGAAAAGCCACGCTCGCCTTTCTCTAAGCTTAAAGACAAAATGAAAGGTCGTAAACATGACAGCGGCTTCGGTGACACGTCTTCAGCCATCTTGCCTCGCTCTGCCGCATGTGACTTGGAGCCCAGCCATCAGTCGTTTGCTCCAGACCTACAAACTGAGCCTGAAACAAAGGTCAAGAGACCACTACTGGCAGGGGCCCATAAACTCTCTGCGGCCCATTCCATGTCAGATCTCATTGGGACGCACTCCCGACCCAAACAGGACTCTATAAATTCAATGGAAGAAAGTGGTGAGGACCAAAGCTTTAATATTTTTAATCTTGTTTCACTAAAGCCATATTCAGACATGACCTGCAGGTAAAATCCAGAAAATTGGCTACGGAGTTTCCCCAGAGTTTGCCTTTCACACATGCACAACACAGCGAGAGGTTCTCTGCACAGTCGAGACAGCAACAAATCCTCCACATTATTCAGATGAGAGGTAGAGCAGCCAGGTGCAGAGGCAGGAAGTGACGTATTAACTCTGCTGCGTAGATCACATGAAACTCGGAATTGTCATTGTTGTGTCAAAACACTTTTTCAACATAAGATATGTGTTTTGATTATCTGGTGGTCAGTGATGTTGTCAGGTGTTTTCTTGCAATCCTGTCAGACAATACAGGCCCATTGAGGTCATTTTAAAGTAGTACAATATATAGTTTCATAAATAAATGTCATAAGAAATCAGGCAACAATTAGAATTTTCTAATATTCATTGCCATCAACCCAATTTTTGCTCACTAAATGTAAACATAATCACAAAGGCAAAATAATAAGCATGGCTCAGCTCACTGTCCTCTCTGTCATGTCTCCCTGCACATCTCCACCCCTCAGACATACATCTGAGGCAGTTACAATATGGTGATATTGAATTCAACATTTAGATCGTCATGCAGGAGAGGGGGAAACTATGAAAAGTTCTGAAGTAGGAGACACACAATTTTGGAGGGTTTAAATAATACAACAAGCCACCCTAAATTAAATTAGTGCTTGTCGTAATTTGTATTGTCCCATTCGATTAAAGAGTCACAAGGACGGCTTGGAAAAAATTCAAAAAAGTATTGATGGATATTATATCAGTGATTGTTTTGTCATTAAACAAGCCCGACCAGACCTTCAGGTTCTGTCACAAAGATCCCATGAACAAAACAGTATAGTTGAATTTGTAGAATTTTAAGAGTGTGATCAGTTCTTTCCATAGAATTTTTTTTTTTTTATCACAACTTAATCGTAAGCTAATGTCCTGCTTTTGATTTCTCATCAGGGAGTACAGGTGGACCTCACAGGCGTTCCCAGAGCGAGATGCCAGGCTATCAGGACGGCGAGGCACACAGTGACCCTTTTACTGATATCAGTGACACCCTGCCACAGAAGTATGCCACGCTCCCACGCAACCGCAACCCATTTGAGGGGGAGCAAGGGCAGCTGTGGGACCGTACAGAGCGGAAGGAGAAAAAAGAGAAGGTCAGCCTATTGGAACGCGTGACAGGAAAGAAGGAAGGCCGCAAGACCAGCAACGGGGGCCGATCAGGCAGCTCTGGAGACCTGCGTTCCCCCAACCCCTTTAGCGGCGAATCAAAAGCAGACACTAACCCGTTCAGCTCCAACTACAAAGTCCGGTAGTTCCCTTTCTTTCATTTACTCTGCTTGGCCTTTTCTCATGTATGCTGTGTTAAGTTCACATCACAGAAGGTTTTCATCTGCCCTTTCTTCATCAGGGTGGTGCCTGAGGTACTTTCTGGTTTCCTTATAAAATCAGTTGATACATGAATCATAGACATTAGAGATGTTCCGATATTGATACCAGGAAATTCCTCCGATATTACAGAAAATGCTGGGTCGGGCATCGAGTAGGTAAATCGTAAAAATCGATCTGATACAACATTCAAAGTATTTTAGCTTCACCCAGATAAAACTTTCACTCCCAGCAGTTGTGTTGTACTACTACCACCAAGTAAAAAAGTACTTGGCCGTAGTAGTACAACACAACTGCTGGGAGTGAAAGTAGCAGTGAAGAAGCAGTGATTTCCAGGAGTGTAGCGTGAGCCAGAGGTAGCAGTTTGGTAATGTTTCCACTGGATAGTCCCCAAAATAAAACTGGGACTTGTACAGTGTGCAAGACTGAAGTTTCAAGCTATTTGAAGAAAGTTATTGTCGTGACTTCCTAGATTTATTTATTCATGGTCTTTTGCAGTTATGATTGTCAGACTAGATAATAAAATAAGTTCTGTGACATTCATTCTTTGTGTGTATTTGTCTATCAAAGGGTTTAACCTGGCCCAACAACAATGATAGCAATCATTACTTCAAAAGGGTTAGTAGCATATGCTGTTAAAATATATTAAATAAGTTGTAAATTTGTTTAATGCAGTGGTATCGGAACTGTATCGGAAAGGGAGCTTTGTTTGGCAACATCTTCATAGATACTTCTACAATACAACCAATATTACAGCCACCTTTTCATAATACATTATAATTTAACAAATACAACTTGTTCTCTTTCAAACTCAATTTTCAAAACACAGCATACCCAAATCTCTTCAAATATTTCTGCTCTTTGAGAAAAAAAATAATCCAGAGACACAAAAAAGTCCGGTTCCTCATATGGAGCATACTTCCCCTTGAAGGAGTAACTGAAATGTCCCTCTGTGTGGTTAAAATGAATGTACAGTAAATGCTCATGTGTATTTACAGTTCCCTATTTCTACATATTCCATTCATTAACATTTACAAACCATTGACACTTAAACTTGTTCATAGTAATTTTAACATTTAGGTGACTAAGAAACTAACTTCCTAATATGTTCCACTGAAATATCCTATTTTTCCATGTGTTATCTTTGGTTCATGGTTAACATCTGTACAGCAGTGGATCTTATACTTTTGCAGCCTCTCACTACTATTTGTTCTTCCTCCTTTTCCATATACATCTCAAACTCCAAAAAAGGGATCCTGCCCCATGAGACAACCATTGCACTGCAGGATATTGGTTACTGCATTCTCGTAAAGTTTGAAATACCTTGTTGATTGAAATCCCCCAACTCCTTATTCTGTTTTCAAGTATTGTTTAAACATCTCCACAGAGCCGGCTCCATCTATTTCCTGTGTTACATAAAGAGTTGGTGAGCGCTGTGGCTAAGTTCTGGTTTATCAGAGTGGAAGGTGTCATTAGTGGCTCTTTAGAGAGCCTGGGCTTGATAACAGAGCCCTCTGAGCTATAGTAATGAGATCCTCTGCAGAGATAGACCACCCAATTAACCACTTATCTCTGGAGGCACTAGTCCATCATCTTTACTGCTGCCTTTGTCATGCAGTAGCTCAGTGGTCACTTATAATGTGGTGCAGGAACATAAAAAGGTTCAAAGCGCAGTTTTTATTGATGAGCTTATTCACAGCTGCAGCAAAAATAAACAGATAACACAGATTAGGGGTGACATTGATTGTGCAATACTATCATCACTGTAATGAATCAATAGCCTAATTATATTAAAAAGTGGAACATAATCGCGATATCAACCGATCCCAACCTTAATGTTTGGCTTTTCAGTTTTTTTCCGAACCTGATTTGAGCCCAATGCAGTTAATATAAGCTGCACTGAGTTTGTGTCTCTCTCTCGCTGACACACTTGGGTTTTTCTTCTTTTCACTCAATACAGACATGTGCTGTATAATTAATCAAGTAGATAACCCAATGTGACAGAACCCAGAAATATGAGGAGGCAACCCGCACCCAGGCCAATACCAGTGAGCAGACAACCAGCACCAGTGGAGCACATTCCAAAACCATGCCAGTGTCACTCCATGCATCATCTACTGATGCCAGGCCTTATACGATACAACTCGTAAGAGATGGAAAGCTATCATGGACAGGACAGGCTTCTCCCCCCAAAAGTATTAAATAAAGTAATACCCTGATATAATACAGTCATCGTCTTTTTTCACCATATTCTCTTAAATATCCATATTTCCTTCACAGCCACTGTTTTAGTATAGTATTTATCAATCCCCCAAATATAAACTGTAATGTCTTCATTTGAATACTGACTTTCTGTATAATTGCTTTGCAGTGATAAAAAGTCAACAGGAAAAGAAGACATCACCTTTGGCCAGAAGAAGAAGGACGTATACGTTAAGAAAAAAGTAAGCCAGGCATCATAACCTTTTCTCTGTTTGTCAGGTGATGTTGTCACACGTTGTCAGTGACAGCGACTGAGATGAAGAAAAAAACTGGATAAATGACTTCAACAGTTGCAACTGTGTCATTACTCCTCGTGCGGTGTCAAGCATATTTTTAGTTGAGAACACAAAGTTTCATTTGTCAAAGCAGCTGGTGACACTGATCTCTGAGACCTCTGAAAATTCAGATGTGCCACTCAACTAATTAGCAGCTGCACACATCGGTCATCATGTCTGATCCGATCATAATTTGAAGTGGTGTGAAATTTCAGTCTGTAAGGTCAGGCACAGTGGTGTGTTGCACCGGTTCTGTAATTGGAGTATTTTTTGTTGTTGTTGAGAAGAGGTAAAGAAGTGGAGTTTGTTTTTAATGATTATTACATCATTTGTTCATGCCATTTTACCCCGAGTTGTATTTTCTATAAATTCTTTTTGCATTTCCAATTTACAAAGAAATAAAATCTTTGCAGACTATTACACAGCACAATTGGTATATTATGAGGGAGCAGTAGCCTGAGTGACGCCTAAATGAGAAAGAGAATGCTGATAATGGCTTTCCTCACCTTTCTCTGTGGGTGTTGAGGGCTGTCGGTACCACACGTGCCCCTCTGCATGCCGCGGTGCCTTGCCGAAATGGCAGCTCCCGTTTCCTCCGCTTCAAGGCCCTAATTAACCACATGCAGTGGGGGGGAGGGAGGGCAGTGTGAGAGATTTCAAAGCACCGAGCATTTAGATTCTCAAAGCTGAGCTCATTAGAAACTGTAATGACACAACTGGAGAATGCCAAGTGGGCGCCTTATCTTCTCCTCACTACTGATCGTGGAAAAACGGTCATCATTACTTCGCCAGTTCATGGTCATTTCCAGGCCTTTGTCACCAGCCGCTAAAGCTCCTGATTATTATGCTGTATGTGTGTATGTGAGATAGGGAGGAAGAGAGCATGCATGTGCACGTACACATGCTTGTATATGAAACCAACATTCACTTCCATGTGGCCGTCAGCTCTCTTGTTGCTGCTGTAAATGGTTTAAGTGTAGTCTTTTGACTGTGTGTGAGGAATAGGTTACCAAGCTCTGGTCTTGAAACCTTCCTTACATTGGACATTTAATCTCTATGGCAAATATTTCATTTTGGTTTGTGTCGCCCCACAGTAGCCTCTGTGCTGTTAGGAGCGATAAGATACCTGGTAAGCAGTCCCGCTCCAGGTCTCTCTCTGCATTGTCTTTAGCCAGCAGTAGAAGCTTGAATGGTGCATGGGAGTGGAAGCTGATAAGTGTGGTATTTTAAACAGGGTGAAGGCTTTGCTGCTCTATCCGTTCGGGGGAGGATGACCAGCACTGAAGCGATAAAGTGGTCCCTCATTAAAAACGATTACAGCCGCTCTCGTACCCGCGCAATATGATCTGCACATACTGTACCATGCTGCGCCGTCCAAATAGATTGTCCTCAAAGAGCGAAACTGGGCTTGGGTTGCATCGTTGTTTTGGTATTTATTAGCCGGACCTTTAATTGCAGAAATATGCCGTCTGGTATTCCCCCCTCAAAACAAAGATTACATTTTTAGGGTACATCTTTTTGTTAACTACCAGCAGGTCTACTTAGAAAGGTCATGGTTTGTGATACATAAAACTAAAGCTGAGTTCACACTACATGACTTTCAAAGTCAGCTGATTGCTGCGCAGTACACACTACACGACTTCTTGACGTGTGATTCTTCAGTCATTGTTGCAGTTCATACTACATGACTGACTGGTGACCAAGGGTTGCAAGCAACATGATCCTTCACCAGTAGAAATCCCTGACCGGTCTTCAATTTACGTTAAATCACGAAAACAAACACAAAATAAGACTCTGGTGAATCAGGTGATCTCCCTGCTATCCTGCTCAGAATGACACATCAAGCTGGAGGAGTTGAAACACTTCAGTGGGCATCACTGTTGTAGAGAATAGAGAGTGGCTCAGGATGGATTTTTTTGTCCTAACTAATCCAAGCCAGACCCGAACCTGACCTGTTTTTTTTACTGTCCCAACCCGCCACATGTCCACTGCAGTCAAAATAAGCCCAATGAGTTTGTGCTCCTGTCCCTCACACACATTGTTATTGCTTGATTTCTTTATTTAAATGTAGAAAATCAAAGGGGCACCTCACCACAGGTACCCTCACCTCTCTCACCCTGTCCTGCGCTCTGATAGCCTGGAAATGTCACAGACTCCGACTAAATTTCCATGCAACATCCGGCTAGCTTCTCTGATCGCTTCTTTGAAGAGTTCGCACATGAATAAAATCGTGCAGTGTGAACTAGGCTTAAAGAAACAACTCAAGATGCTAGCTGCTCACTGTAGAGTCGAAGTCAAGTCCCATTAGAGAAGTTAAAGTGCTGATATGTTACTAACACTGTTTGACAGTTTTAGATCATAACATCTGCCACATAAATCAGTGAGATGACAGTGTGATCTCCCTGGAGAACAGTCTCATCGTAACAGCTCTCGTTTAGCCTTTATTAGCAACAGAGAACAAGAGATAAACACATGACAGTTTGTCACATTAGGTTTTCACGGCTAATTAGTTTATTTTCTCTGTCGTATTGTGAGCGCACTCAAAGGGTAACTTTACTTCTGCCTCTGTTATCAGATGCTGACATTTCAGATCATACAACAATTTTAGTCTACTTTTACAAAACATTTCTATGCATAATATGGTGATTATGGAGCTCGTAACCTCAAAATCTGTGGGGGTTAAACTGAGCCTTCACTTTTTTTAAATTATTTTTTCAGGAGCTGACAAAGGAGAGTGTGGCGGCCTATAGCAACTTGTCCTTTGAGGAAGTTGTGCAGGAACTAATCAAGCAGAAAGAAGTGGTGAAAAAGAAAGACGCCCACATCAGGGAGCTGGAAGACTACATCGACAACCTCCTAGTCCGCGTCATGGAGGAAACGCCAAGCATTCTGCGGACACCATATGAGCCAAAAAAGAAGGCGGGTAAACTTAATAAAAAATAGTAAGAAGCCAAGAAACATGAGGATAAAAATTTACAAGTAAAGTTTAAGTGGTAGCTTATGTATCAGTATCATATGGTAAAATAACTGGGAATAAATGGGATTGATCAAGGCCAAAATTTATGATTGAGCTATGTTCTAACATTTTTACTCGATGGAGGTGGTTCTTAAATACTTTTTCAAAAGGTTTTGGTTATTTTAGTTCTTTTAGTTTCTTCCCCTCTTTGTTTGACATTCCTATACATCCATTTTCAAAACTCTGGATACTTGCAGTTTATTTTTAGGTACTTAAACAGGATATCTGGTATTCATCAGCTAATTCAAATCAACTCAAATCCATATTTTGTGACAAAGATGAAGCTTAGCTGTATTGAATGCACTTGTGAACCTACAGAGGTCTGTTGCACACAGCTGCTATCATCTGTCCAGAGGCTCTTAAGGTGCAGCCAAATTCATGTTTACCAAATGTAGCTGTAGTTGTGTGCTGTTTGCTGAAAGACGGTCGAGTGGTTGCGAAGAAAGCTTTAGGTGCTGTGTTTATACTCGAGCAAAACTCTTAAACACAATGCCTAAAATACTGCGCACATTTAGCAGAGGCAGTGTTGATTTTGTTGCAAGTCTCCTATTCTGAGGCTCTTGGCTGCAAATGTGCATGAACTCTGCTCTCCTGAGTGATTTATACGGATTCTTAGAAAGAGAGTTATGATGAGAAGTTGCTGGACAGTATCTGGTTTCTCTCTAGCTTACTGACTCATGTTCTTCTTTTCAAAGAACAAATGTACATCCCTTTTATTGTTTGCTGACTTTACATTCTTTATTTTATCTGTGACGACTATCAAATAACTTTCTTGGACCGAGGATCTCATGTTCACTTGTTGAAGGTAATCGTTTTTACTTAAGCTTTAAGTGCAATAATCATGACCTAAGCATTTTGTGTTATATATTCTGCTGGAAATGCTCTTGTTTACATTTCAATCACATCTCTTAATATTGATTTGATTCTTTAGAAAAGCTTGGGAGTTCTTTGTTACAGCCTACATTGATTTACATGCCTTCATTTCCTCCAAATACAGTTTTAGCTGAAGATTGTACTTATGGTACAGAGTGGCACTTGCATATCTTCTAAACAAGCATTTACACATGAATATTATTTTGAATGTATTTGTAATGTACGCTACAATACCCCAATCCCCCCTCTCTCACAACCTGTTCTACTGTAACAATACTTTATAGTTAGTATAAATCTAAAAAGAAGCATTTTCATATGTTATGGACTTACAGATACACTTTTTTTATATGTTATTCACATAAGCATTCGTATGTTTACTGTTACTGAAAATCTTATAACAGCGCCATAGTGTACCGCTATTTGTTTTTTCCATTACCAAAAAAGTCCAAATTCATATTGATGAAAGTCTTTGCCAAGCATCACCCATAGCACTGACAGTCTATATTATGTTCCCTGTCCTCATTTCACAGTTTAGTGTCATCTCATACATCGCGTCAATCTGTGATGCTAATGCCATAACAACATATGTTGTTTCCATGTTAAACAGCACTTTGTTATTTTGTTTCAGTTACTACTGAACTAATGTTATGCTGACCTATGGAGCAGCTGTGGAATCACACTACTGGTACTAAAATGAGCTACATGACTATCTTTTTAGGTTTTGGTCTCACAAAGAGGCCGTTCCTTGTCCATGTTCAACAATAGAATAGTCATTTAGTGATGTTTGGGGTTTACATTTTGAATTTGTTTATTTTTTACTTCCTGGAAAGCAGCTTCATGAACAGTGTTAAATATGCTTTGTATTATCACAGTTACTGTCCTTTACTGAAAATTGCGCACCATTTTTAATGATATATCTACAATCTCTATTAGATGATGATCATTCTTGTCCTGTTGCTGGTATTAATTCTGCTTTTTAATCTGTTTAGTAATTACTTTCCAATCTAAAGTCTTCTGACCTTTACACTGTATGATACAAAATCACAGGTGAGAGAAAGTGCTACGCTTTTTCTATAGAATGTCAACAGTCAGAAACAACTCGATTTCCTTTTTTATGAATGTTGCACCAATGAGAAACACATATTGTCTTGTGCCGATTATTATAATTTTCTGCTGCTGCGATAGAAGTTATTTCCTCTGAAGGTACGTCATCTCTTTTCTGCACTTGAATCCTAAATCTCGTCACTGAATGTATTCTGGTAGGGTTTGAAACGCGTCATTTTGAAATGTATAATATACAGTTCAATAATCAGGCCAATTGAACCCTGCTTGCCTTTGAAGTATTTGGTGTATCCAAAGAGATCATTTCATGGGTGATTTTCTTTTTCTTTCTTAGTTCTTCGTTTTGTCAGACAAAACTTTCCTCTGGACATGAAGTTTCTGTCCATACATTTTATGCGATGATGTGACATAAATGCTGGGGAAATTCCCTTGTACTGGAAAAAGATAATTTGATCTGCACATATTTTTTGTAAAGCCAAAAAGGTTTGAATCAGTTTGTAAAACCCTGAGTATTATGATACTAATTAAGAAGATATGTGGACACGAATCTGTTTTCCATTGTAGAAAGACTTCTCACTGAATGCCTTCCTCCGTGTGTTGAAGTGTAAACTGTCTTATGTTACAGGCTTTAACAACTGCTTCAACTAGTCTGTTTTTTTTTTATTGTTAACCATGGACCTTGCTGAGCTCTTCATACTTGGCTACATGGAGTGTAGTTACCTCACCTACCTTGACTTCTTGCACACTGTTAAACGTTTGAAAATGTGCTTCCTGGGGATTTATTCTGATTATTCAAACGTCATTTAATTGAAATTTCAAAAGTTGGAATAAAAGTGTTTGCCACTGATCTTTGATTATGAGTTAAACTGACATTTACAAACTTTGATTTAATTGCAATACTCAGGCTTTTTACTAGATTTTTTTTTTTTGTCGCTATGAGTAATTTCTCTTGCTAAAAGAGCATGTAATCCTGGAAGTGACATTTTAGTTGAGGTGATTTTGTTCATCATAAGAGAAAATGGAGCAGGTGATTTACACCCATGTCTACAATGTTCTCCTGTTGCATTGCTTGAATGATGAAATTACAAAAGAAAAGGCATTTGATGTTGAATGCATTTGGACCCTGAGGTTATTTAGTTCAAATGAAAAATGAGGGGTGAGTACTTTGAATTAATTAATTTTCCCTGCCATTTTTTACCTTTTAGCTTGATTGCTGCATTGGCTTTATGCTTTAATATAATTCGGTTCTTTAGTAGATGTCAGTCTGAAACACAAATCTAAATGAAAGGCATTTTCAAATCATTTTGTGCACAACAGTGCAGTGTAAAGCGGTGCACAAAAAAGCCTGCATCATTATTATAGTTCTTCCTTGCCTCTTTGCATAACATTTGTCATACAATTAATGGCAGTGTCTAAATATGCAAAGCACTGAACATGCTTGGAGGCAAATTTTCCTAAAAGATTGGGCTTGTAATTTAAGTTATAGAGACTGTGTTGCACAAGCATTAAGTAAGTGTTGTAGGTGAGTGTCCGCCCCATCCTAAAAAATAAAAACAGTACAAACCTATGGTGAAATAAATTTTCCCCCATGTTGACGAAGCATGCATTGAACCTTTTGATGAAGATGACATAAAGCTGAAGTCGGATCTCACAATCCTCCTCTGGCAGTCTTTTTAAGTCCTCTGCTGATAATATGATGCTGCTTGCCATAGGCCACATACAGCTGCCAGACACTAAGACTTAAGTCCCAGCTAAATCCCCTGACGGTGCTTGTAATGTGGCACACAGTTTTGAAGGAAATGATGACTGTGTTTATAAAAGATCTTGCCAGTTAGCAAAGCTTCATTGAGTTTACAGAATTGTATGGAGGCTGGCGCTCGGAGGCCAACACAATTAAACATGTGTGCTGAGTTTAGTGCCGCAACATGGTGAAGACCTAAAATTAAACGTTGGTTTACTAGTGAAGAAAGTCGAGTCGCAGTTGTACTGAGTCTTGCAGTGCATTCAGGTTCATGCCTTGTAATATAACAACTTAAAGTGAATCTGTGTATTTGGATTCTTATTCTTATTTCTGCATGTTGATCACATGTTTTTATTATGTAACACTTTGTATAATTGCAAAATTATATGACATTCTCCTGATCTAGAAAAAATCAATTCCACTAAAACGGGTTTATTTTAAATCAACACTCAACACACAACCTTTTATGTATTTAACTCTGAACTGTTCTATGTGTACAAATGGACCTTTTTCAAATAAGGAATTAATGAAGAGTTTTTTTCCTTTTTTTCATATTTTCCCATGATAGCGAATATGCAAGACTTTCATACCTGGATGTTTGGGGACAAGAATGTATGGCTTTTATATTATTGTACTTCTGGAAACACACTGGGTCTGAATGGTCTTAATGCTGTATTATGACAACAGTGTAATGCTGTTAATGGCGATTGTATGTAAAGTGCCAACAAACGCACTAATTCATAAGAAGTTTGTGATTTACTCACTCTCAATGTGCTAAATTTTGAAACATTTACTTTTACATATTGTCATCACTATGATTATGATTAAATTCCAATGTTTCACTGGATGTGGTCTGAAAGGTGTGTATTGTCCTCTTCCACACACTCACTGTAAATGTACACTGCTGTCCTCCCGTTACTTCCTCTGTCAAGGAGGTTATATTTTCATCGCCCTTTGTTTGATCAATTGCAGGATTACGGAAAAACTACTCAACCGAATTCCTCAACATTTTGTGGAGGGGTGGGGCATGACCCAGAGAAGAAACCATTAAATTATGGGGAAGATACAGGAATGTTTTTACACTTTCTTTAATATTGCTAGATATAGCATTTTTTGTTGATTCAGAGAATAATTCAAGGATCTTGATGGGAAAAATGGCATTTAGAGGGGACTGATATTTCTGAGTATGTGCAGTCACTCACAAAGGGGCTGTTGGTCCTTGGCAAAGGTTTGCAAATACTGAGAGCCATTCTGGTTCTTATTCAGTCTTTTTCTTTTAAAGCTGGAATGATAAATATTTTTACAAACATGAAATGAATGAGTTTTATAACAGGTCCTTACATTTGGCAGCAGATCTGGTTGATCTAAAACTCCAGTATAAATCTTATGCAAAGTGGATTTTTAAGGATAAATTAGAAGCCACTGTTAATTTACTATGATCTCATTTAAACCACGGTTAGTGATTTTTTTTCATTGTGCTGATTCATGTCGTGCTTTTGTTTCCTCCCTGCTCCGAGCAGCTCTTCCTTTTGTCCTGGAGAAATTCCCATGCCTTACTGGCAAAAGGGAGAAGTGGCATCGTTTGACAACTGAGTTGCAAGATTGCTTGTTAAAACCACTCGAGAAACACTTGCCTTGTTTACCAGCTGATGCTTTTGTTGCTTGGTTTGCTTCTCTGACACGCTGCCACACAGCAGGTTAAAACATGACCTCTGTCCTGTCACCTCCAATGAGTAGTCCCTGAAGAGGTGCACCTCAACAGCGGAGCAGCTGGCAGTGCTCGCCACGGCACCACGTTAGATCTCCTGATGGAAGAAGCATAGCAGTGGTTACCATGGATACTGGGAATATACAAAATTACTCACAGCATCGCTCCTTTTATGACACACTCTTTGAAAGGTAAACGTGACTGAGACAGAGCAAAACCACGTGTGCCGAACTGAAGTACTGGATTGAAATTTTCCACGAAGCTAATGTCAGTAACATTTCAAGCAATACTCAAAGTTACTTTAAAGATATTTCTGCCTAGTAACAGAATTGGCTGCATCCATCATGATTAATTTTTTATCTTAGTGTGTTAACTTATCTGTCATGGGAGACACTAACCACAGTTAAGTGTGTAATTGGGCTTTATGTACGTGTCACCTGTTGTATTCATAAACTAATTGGCATACTCGTTACACATTCATCTGCATATTGAATTTCACAGGTCCCAGCTTTTGTATGGCAGTGGCACGTGCCATTTGAGTGCCTCCTTGCTGAAAGCCTGTTAGTTCCTTGTGCATTATATCATATTGCTGTAATTTGAGGAAATATCCAACAAACGTGTTATGTAAGATTCTGTGGGTGCAGAAGGGCCCACGCGTGCCAGAGAGGGCCACCCACAGGTCACCTGTACTGCCCTTTAAATATGGATGGGCGTCGCATCAGGGATCAATGTCACCCCGCACGCGTCTGTGAATGGAAGCGCCTCAGGCAATCATAGAGAAACTTATTAAAGAGAAGTTCAGCAGATGGATGAGGTGTTTTTCAGGGAAAAACCAGACCTATCTGGGCAGCTGGGCTGAACTTGTAGAATGATCGGGGGCCAGATGTCAAGGTTAACCCCTCGGATTCCCCAGAGTATGAGACCCCACCCATTCATCCGACGCAGGACTCTTTGTTGGATAGTTGACTAATCTGAATAGGTGCTTGGGATAAATCAGGTGTGGAACGTGCTGCAGATCCTGGCGTCGTGTATTGTATTGATGGCATTGTCTTCCTCTGATAGCCGCCACTCGTCTGGTATCAGGTGAACAAAGCCAGATGACAACCAGAGGAAAGAGGGGATCTGTCAACACTGAGCAGCCAACAAGGGGGCGAAGGATACAGACTTCACATTTAACATAGATGTACAGTCACAGTTCATACTGCACTGAAAAATAACACCAAAGCATAGATAAATATTTAAATCTTTTTTACTTGCTTAAACACACTTTACAAGGCCAATAAAAGGAAAGTGTCAGGGAATCCCTAAAGGTTCAGTGTGTAGAGTTTTGTGGTGAATTTGAATGTTGCAGCTGAAAACCTCACCTAACATAAAAAACCTGTGGTAGCCTTCAATTTTTATGAACTCAAAAGGTGTTTAGTTTGTCCAGTCTGGACAACTGCAAAAAACATGGCGGCCTCTGTAGAGAGGAGCCCCTCCTGATGTAAATATAAAGTATTTAATTATAAAGGGGAAATTCTAGGGTAAAAAAAACACAATTTGTACAATTAATGAAACACACTAGAGAGAACATTGCATTAGACACTGGACCTTTAACACAATCAGCAGTGTGGTGTTGGTAAATTACGTTGATTTAACTTGGTAAGTATACAACAAAATATATTTTAAAAAAATTAAAAGACATAAGAAACAATACATTTTGTAATTTTTTATTTTATTTTGAGAATTAACTCTCAACTAAAATGTTGAGGAAAAACTTAACTGAAAGTTTTGAGAATATATCAAATACCGCACGCGGAATTAGTGAAATTTTACTCCAGAATTGATTATAGTATCAAATAAATTATTTTTCTTTCATGACAAACACGATTACTCGTCACCATTAGGATTTTGTGGCTGCATTGGTGCAAAGTGAAACAGCTTGTGATCATCGGATGCAAGGATAAACAGTCTATGGTTAAACCATCACACTCCCAGGATGCATCAGTGGCAGCTCACATCGCTGTCAGTCTCTGCTCCGACTGGACTCATGGACCAGAGGAGCAGACTCTGTTCTTGGCATCTCCACTTCATTCATGAAATAGTGTTTCAAGTTTATTATCAACGTTTCAACTTTAATGTCAAATGAAAAAAGTCTCCCTGTTCTAAGATGAATTAGATTGTATCCCTGAAAAGCAAAGGAACACAATGGTATACCTGTCTGCCTGCCTAATCTACACCTCCATGATGTACACTGTTTTATGCATAAGAGTTTATAAAGTGCATGTTTAAGTCCAAACATGTTTTCACAAATAATTCTTTAAGCCTTTTCACTGTCATCTCTTTATTGCTATTTATTCAGCAGTTCGCACCACAGTCTGTGGGCCACAGTGTGTGACAACTAACACTAATCTGTGTC